CATGCTTACCACTACACTCACACTGCAAAGAATGTGTTCTGTAGAGAAGTAACCATAATACTTGAAACAGCCTCTTCTGTGAGGCCAGGAATGTGGTATTGTGAATTAAACCACAGCCTGCCAGGTTGGCAACCCCATGTGGGCATCCTTAAAGTCCCAGCTGGTCCACTCTGCTCCAGCTCCCTGCTTATGTACCTGGAAGGCAGCAGATGGCCCACAGGGAGACCCAGACCAAGTTCCTGTGTCATCCTAGCTAGCCCAGCTCTGGCGTTAGGCCTTTGGGGGAGTGAATCAGCAGACAGAACAGCTCTCTCTCCTTCCTCTAGCTACTAGTTCTGCCTATGAAATAAATGTCTCCTTTTAAAAATACTCTGCTTCTATCTTCCATCCCAGCCTTCACATAAGAATAAATCATGACTGCATGCACTTCTGTCTGCTACTGCACCTTCAAAGGCCTCGTGTGGCACCGAGCAGGCAGGTGAGTGACAGACACGCAGTCCTGCTGCTCAGGAGTCTGGCCAGCTGAGTGAGTGTGGCCTGCACCGTGCTGGGCTTTGCTCTCTGCAGGCCTTGCTGCCCTGGGGTTCTCGTTGTCTGTCAAGTTCTGACAGGCTGTGCTCGCTCAGCAGCAAGGCAAGATTCTAGAGACAGGAGACAGGGGGCAGCAGCCTCTGAAGAGGAACCCTGGCATTGGCAAGGTGTCACTTGGGGTGCCAGCTGATGGGACAAGCAGCAGTCACACACACACAGGCTAGGGATGCAGGAAGGGGCAGGTCCAGGACTTGGGCCACTGTGGCTGTGACACACAGGAGTGTGTGGAAACGAGCGTCAGGCCTTGGTGGTGTGTCCAACTCTAAGTGCTCCCTGGAGTACTCATTTGTGACATCCACTCTTGCTGCTGATGGTGACCCTTCAAGGGCTCAGGGAGCTCAGGGAACTCTGGCTCCCCCTGCTGGTCACAAAGAGCAGCCTGTCCTCCTGCCCTGGGGGAGCCCAAGAGGCCACTGGACACTCCGTGATTTTCTTTCCTACTTGTACCCAGAGAGACCCTTTCCTGTCTGCTTAAGGACAGACTGCTCAGGGCGGGCCTCTGGCCCAGCAGTGAAGGCACTACAGCTGATGCCCACATGTGCCAAGCCAAAGCCAACAACCTGGAGCCTCTTCTGGGTCTCCCACACAGGTGCAGGGTCCCAAGGCTTTGGGCTGTCCTCCACTGCTTCCCCAGGCCACAAGCAGGGAGCTGGATGGGAAGTGGGGCTGCTGGGACACAAACTGGTGCCCATATGGGATCTTGGGCAGTGCATGCGAAGCAAAGACTTCAGCTAATAGGCCATCGTGCCGGGCCCATGAATCATTTCTCAGCTCCAGCTCCTGACTCCAGCTTCCTGTTATTTATATAGGCCAGGAGGCAGTGGGTGGTGATGACTCAAGTAATTAGGAGCCTGTCTTCCATGTGAAGGACCTGGACCGAGCTGCCAGCTCCTGGCTTTAATCTCCGTCCAACCCTGCTGCTGCAGGCATTAAGAGCGGTGAGCCAGCAGATGGGCCATCTGCCTCTCTCTCTCCTTCACTCTCTACCTCCCCGCCCTCCAACACACACACACACACACAAATAAATGTCTTAAAGTGGTTCAGGGGTCAAAATGGAACTACAGAGGCCAAAGTGTGGTTCTATGTCCACAACTCATGTCAATGAATTGCTTTGAGGCAATGCAGCCAGAGCTTCACTGGCTGTGCCAATTTTTCAGAAAGAAGAAGATGAAAATCCCAATTCTACTGTGAATCGTGACTGTCTCTTGAGCCTGTGGTCCAGCCCTGATGCATCTGTGATTCACTCATCACTCAGGGCCTCTAACAAGAAATGTAAGTCAACCTGCTGGGTCCCAGTTGCAGAATCGCTTCCTCATTCCTCTCACTCCTGTCTTCAACAGGAAGACACAGAACATGCCAGAAGCACACAGAAAGGGTGGAGCTCAAGGAAACTTCTTCAGAATACTCTTCGGCCTCCCATGCCTAGTCCTCCAACACACTGCCCTAAAGTGCATGATTTGAATCTGCATCTTAACAAAGTACTTAATGAACTGGCAAGCTGCTCGTGGGACAGCAGAGACAAGTGTCTGTGGTTTTTTTGTTTAAATATGTGGTGTCTATATCAACCCTGCCTAGCAACCCTCGGTCTGTCTTCACCGACTATGTGCTGTGTAGCTGGAGCCTCAGTCATGTTGAACTCTCAGAATGCCTTACTGACCAGCTTGCGGTTAGGCTCCACCAATGGAAGGCTCCAGCCTCCTGGTATGAGAGGAAGTCACTTGGTGCTTGTAGCTGTGGATGCCTTCCCTCCAGCAGCCACGCACAGCAAGGTCCTGGATGCCCCAGACATCATCAGCAACAGTCACAGTTACCTTTGCCCTCGGCAGGCTGGGCACCAGCTGATTCCATCCTGTTGTCTGCTCAAGCCCTACGCAGAGTACCCCAGATCCAGCAGGAATCCAGGCTGCTGTCTGCCAATGACGTCCCCAAGATCCTGATGCCACTTCCTCCCTTGACTCTTCCCATCCCTAAGATGGCGGTTACGTCCTTAGTAAGCTCTGCGTTATGTCAGCACCTATTGCCTGCTCTTGGGCTCCCAATATCCAGCATTAACCAATCACTGGATTCACCGCTTTATGAAACAGCTAACATGACTGCTCTTCTTTTGACTTATGCCCAGTGTGAGCTGCCTATATAAGGCCCAGCATGCACTGGTCTGGTGACACTTTGTCGGCCTCTACAACTGAGCTGGACGCTGGGAGCGCTCCACACCAGTTAAGCTACCCACAGCCATGTCCTCAGTGGTCCGTGGCCTAGGCAACAGCCTAGCCCACTACCTGGGACAAGCAAAGGACATTGGTAGCTATTTAGCGACTATATGTTTAAGAGGCTTGTAGAGGAAGCACCTCCAAGGATTTGAAGATGACATGCTGACAAATCTTGGCCTTGATGTGGAAGCACGCTATCACGCTAGGGAGCTGCGTGACATCCAGCAGACTGCCAATCACATATTTTACTGAAAAACAAAATGGACAAAAATCAGAATAAAATGTGAAATCTGCACTAACTCCACACATAGTTGTGGAGACGACAAAACAAAAACGAAGTGGCCCCACACCTGGAAACCCTTGGGCAGCTTTCCACCAAAGAACAACTCCTCAGAGAGCCCAAAGTGGTACCCAAGGCCACCAACAACCTGACCTTTCCTGATGAAAGAAAACCTGTGGCCCGCAGTGAGCCTCCTCGGTTGCTCCTACGAGAAAATGAAACCCTAAAAGCCTCCCTAGCCACCAAAGCAGAAACAATCAGGCTCCTCCAGGAAAGGATCCAGACACTGTCTCAGGCCGCGACAGACCACACACCTGGAGACAAAATCACTTGAAATACAAAAACTTAAGAAGAAACCACAGATCTTACACAGCCTAGTGAAAGGCAAAGAGCTCCTTCTGACAGCCAAAAAGAAGGAGGTGCGCTCTCTGCAGAACCAGCTGACAAAGTCAGGAGAGAAATAAGATGCTGAAACAATCTCTGTCAAAGTGAGTCGGGGAGGCTTCAAAAGGAATTTGGCAGGATTTACACCCAGCTCATCCTTGACACAGACCAAGTTGAGCAAGACGCAGATGGCACCGACTTAACACAAAATGCCCAAGACACTAGCATGAGAAAAAAGTTCAACGACGAATTCTTCCACGTCCTCGAAATGCTTGGCCAGCTTTCTTCGACCGAAGACGACCTGCTCAGACACCTCAAAGCCTTGCTAGAGGCCTCCAACAGGAAAGCATTCACACAAGAGTCTGGAATTCACAGAACCTGCTACCTCAAGTCAATTCCTCACAGGAGCAACACAAAAGCTAAAGCTAAAATCACTCAAAGCAAACGAAGCCACAATCCAGATCCTCCAGGAAGAACTGCACACGATGGCTTCTCTGAAGGCTCACACCACAAAAGTAGACACACAACAGCAGCAACTGTCTTTAGAAAACAAGAAACTAAAGGAGAAACTGGAGTATTTACAGAAGCTACTAAAAGGCAGACATTTTGATGAATGCCAAAAACAGGCATCTGTGCTCTCTCAACAAGACTCTTGTAGAGAAAGAGAAGGAAAGTAACACTCTACAGCAAACCGTGAGAAAACTCTCACTCCACGACGGACACCACGACCCTGGAGACGGAAGACGACCAGAAACCTTCAGAGATCAGGGATCTGGAGGAGAAACAACACGAGTTAGAGAAACTAGTGAAAGGGAAAGGGCTTGCTCTGAGAGCCAAAACTCAACAGTTACACACCATGGAGGACACTCTTGTCCAGAAAGAGAACACCATTTTGAAACAATCTGTGACCATATTAGAAGCAGTGTCTCCCATCCAAATACTAACCAGAAGAAGCAGTGTCAACACTGTATATGGAGATTCAGAAACTGAAACAAGAGTGTGGGGAAAGACTCCACACAGCTCAGGAAAGCATGAAGGCACTCCAAGACTCCAACACCAAGATGCTCACATCCTTGCAAGAGAAGGAGGTGGCTGCCTGTGCACTCAGGGAGGAGCTCCACACTCGGGAGCAGCTGCTGAAAGAAACAGAAGTCAGATCCCAGCAGCTCTTCAGTGCCACAGAGGCCATCCTCAAGCAAATCCTGCTGTTCCAGCAGGAGAGAGACGCAATGCTGCTGGCCATGAGACAGAAACACCTGCAGGAACAGGTCCTGCAGAGCGCACTGCAGAGCTTACAAGACACTTTCAGCCAGGGGCAGGACGGGGACCACCACCATCTTCCAAAGTCCCAAGATTCTCACCTGCCTGAAGCCCTGCCTGAAGCAGATGGACTGGCTGCAGTTCGAGCAGCAATGGGAACAGAGAGCAGACCCCCGAGACTCCTGTGTAACACCACCAGTGATGCTGGCCTACGGACACTGACACCCTGGAGGCAGCTGCAGATGACATAGCCAGCCTTGGCCACCCATAGTGTCACCATGAGCAGCAAGGCCAAAGCCGATTCCGAGACCCAGCAGCAGCTGCCCACAAAGCCCAAGCCCTTTATGACAGGAGTTAGGGGGGACATAAAGCTGATCACAACTAAGGTTCAAGAAACCATAAAATGGTTCAACATCAAGACCAAATATGGCTTCATTAGCCAACATCACATGAAGGAAGACATATTTGTCCATCACCCCACCATTCAGAACCACAAGCGCAGGAAGCACCTGTTCAGCCTAGGTGATGGCAAGATTGTGCAGGGTCAGAAGAGTATGCAGGCCACCAACATCACAGGCCCCCGAGGAGCTGCAGTGCAGGCAAGCAGGTATGTGGCTCCTCCTGGGCTGTTCCCGGTGCGATCCACAACATAGGGCTCCTCAGTGCCATCTCCCACCGGGTCACCTCACCAGCAACACTGAGGGCTCTGACAGCACTTGGGAAGGCCAGGCCCAACCTCGCTGGCCCCAAGGCTGCCCAACCCTACTACGATGCTACCTGCGGAGACCCTGACAGCACAGGAGGCAGGAGTCCCACATTCCAGTGTGGGGTGAACAGGATGGTGCCCACGGCTTGGCTGCAATCAAGCCCCAAGTGCACACCCAAGACCAGGGAGATGACACCCCAAGCCACCAGCTACTTCTCAGACATTCCCCACACAGCCAGCCACACAGTCCTAAACACCAAGATGGCACACAGACCCAGGCTGCCCAGCATGCTGCTGACAAGCCACCTGCTCCCCAAACCGTGCAAGGGAGTCCTGCTTCACATCGTCACCGCCATCCCCTTTACTCACCCAACAACCAAGGAATCTGACATGCAACCCAGAGAAAACAACATAGTTCTATTTATTCTTTGGCAACTGAACCAACTATTATGACTATAAACATGCTTTAGGCACCCGAGTTTTACACAAGGCTGTCCAGTTCTGGATCATGAACGTTTATTTTGTATCCTCAGTACACCTGTTAAGGTTCACTGAATTCTTTCCTATCTCCGCAAGTTGACATTTTTAAGGAATTTTTAACTTGTAAATGTCATCTGTCCATTTTAACTAACAACATATCAACAGGTTTAAATTTTAAAAGATGTGATCAATACAATGCTCAAATTATAGAATATGCTAGAGTATCCAACTACAAGCTTTATGTGATCTCACATAATCAACACAGAAAAATTTGAACAGGATCTACACGCAGAGATTATAGCTCTCTGTCATGAAAGACAGTGTACTCCATGACTGACAGAATCAGAAAACACAAACTGTGAACAGATGATTTCAACAAAAGGAAACTGAACTAGCAGCTTTCAAAATAAGATCCAATGGAAAATGCTTTGCACTTTCTAGAGACTGATGAAACTGTAAAGTGTTCTCTAAAGTGTTCACAAGAACAGGTGGACAAAGTTCTAATAAAGTATTTAAACTTTTCACAACTGGTTGCAGGACTATCTACAGAACCCCCAGATGGTCCACTCACTGGACACACAGCATGCAAATATCTGCCTGAGGGTAGATGTGGAACGGGAGGGGGAGAAGGGTTGACAGGAGGAATTTCTAGGGACCAGCACGGTGTCACCATGTATCAAGCAGACAGCTTGGGTGCCAGCATCTCACATGGGCACTGAGTCTAGTCCCAGCTGCCCCTCTTGCAAACCAGCTCCCTGCTACTTGGCATGGGCAAGCAGGAAAGGATGGACTAGGTGCCTGGGCCCCTGCTCAGTACACGGCAGTCCTGGAGGAAGTTCTGGACCCCCGGGGCTTCACCCTGGCCCAACCTAGCCCTTCCCACCATTTCAAGAGTGAACCAGTAGATGGAAGATCTCTGTCTCTCCTTCACTCCCTATAATTTTGCCTTTCAAATAAGGATCTTATTCTGATTACAAAGATCTACTTTTTTGTTGTTTGTTTTAAATGGAAAGGCTTTTCCACTGGCAGAGTAGGACACACAGAGATCATCTACCTACCTTTGCATCACTACACAAATGGCCAAGACAGCCAGAGCCAGGTCAGTCGGCCTGCAGCTTCCCTCCAGAGCTCCCACACAAGTGCATGAATGCAAGGACTGGAACCACTCCCGATGCATTCCCAAGCTCAGCAGCGGAGAGCTGACTTGGAAGTGGAGTTGCTGTCCTCTAAAAAGGCCTCCATCGGTCAATACCGGTGCCACAGGGGAGACTTAGCCTGCCAGGCCGTAGCGGTGGCTCCTCAAATTATCTTCTAAAACATTGATGTGCAACATACACAGCAGGCAGTCCACAGCTCTGGCTCAATTCCTAGGCTCCTCAAAGGAGAAAAACATAGTCAATTACTTAAAGATTAATTGCTTTCCATTTGAAATAAGAAAATACAGCAGAGAGGAAAGGACAGAGATCGAGTCCTTCCATTCACTGGTTCACTGCCCAAATGGCTGTAATGATTGGAGCTGAGCCCATGTGAAGAGAAAAGCCATAAACTGCTTCACAGTCTCCCACACGGCAGTAGGAGCTCTAGGCCTTGAGCTGCTGCCATCTGCCATTTCCCAGGCTGTCAGCAGGGAGCTGGACTGCAAGTGGACCAGCTGGCACACCAACTGGCACCCATATGGAAGGCCATCACACCAGGCTGAGGCTCAGCCTACCCATAAGATAGCCCAAACCACCTCCCCCAACTAGAATCTTCCTCTAACTGTTGTAGAAGAGTACAGACTTATCACATCTTCTGTACTCACTTCCTACTGAGCAGCGGCTTTGGGTTTGCCTATTCCTTCTTTGGAACTCTCTCTTCTCAACGGATCCCTCTCAGGAGCTGGAGAACTTGCACTCGGTGTTAAGGGTTAGGTTCTCTGCATCTTCATCATCACCCTAGTATCATTTGCTACTTTGCACAGGATTCAGCCATGTGGATAATAAAATCATGTAGTGTGTGTGTGTGTGAGTGTGTGTGTGCACACGTGCGCGCCAAGGCCAGACCATACACCCACAGGCTCTGGTCCCTGAGACTGGAGATGCTCATGTGCCCGAGGCCAACATGAGATGAAAGCATGGGCTCTTTGCCGACACCAGACGCCATTCACAGGCCTGCCCCTGCTAGAGCAGTTGCAGGGACCTGGCCCACAGAGGCCCTCAAGGACACCTGCCCAGACTGCCCCCAGTTCCAGCTCCCACACACACCAACAGGTGCTATCACCTGGACCACAAAGGCCACAGTGTTGGCTCTCTTTCACCCCCTGCCCTGCACACTCAAGCCTCAACTCTTGTGCATGCCCAGGTGTGCAACGGGTTGGCCTAGGGGGTCCTTCGTGAACCTCTGACTATAGCAAAAGCCCTCAGTGACTGAGCCAATCTGCAGCAACTGCTGGCACAAGGAAGAGCCAGGCCAGGGTGTAGGTCGGCCTCGATTGGGTCTCCATACTCCACTAAATTCACGTGAGGGCCAAGGCAGGTGATGGGCCTGGCTGTACAAGGTTGTTTTACCTGCTGCCAGTGAGAGCTGGCACTGTGGGTAGACTATGCCAGATGAGGTCACAGCAACCACTGCTGCCTGCAAGACCCAGGGCTGGAACTGCTACAGGAACTTGGCTTACTCCACTGGCTGGGCTGCTGCTTCCACTGGTAAACATGAGAGCAGCAACTATGGGCTGGTGCTCCAGGCCAGACTGAAGCACCTGCCGGCCATCATGCAGGCTTGGTCTGGGGTCAGGACAAGCTGGGCATAGCTGTCACGCCTGCTTGTGTGCATAAGACCATCATGGGTGAAGGCCAGAAGTGCTAGGTCATGCCACTTGCTGGCAAGTGTGAGGACTGGGTACAGGAAATGTCGGACTAGACGGCAGTACTTTCTGTACGCAGGCACACAATCCTGGGCGGGGAGTCGGCCTGGTAAGGGATCTTTGATGGTGAGCACGAAAACCAGGGCTACAGTCAGGCTGGGTGGACAATGTGGAGCACCCGTTGGCCTATGTGTAGGACGGGACTGGGCTCGGGTTGGGCTAAGCTAAGCCACAGCACCAGTGCGTGTGCATAAGAGCCCAACAAGTTGTAGGATGGGCCAGGATGGGTCTCTGCACATGCCAGCACACGCAAAAACCAGGACTGGAGACGGGCCTGGGGGGGGAGAAGCTGTGGGGGGTCATCATCACAAGGCTGTGGCACCCACTGGTGTGCTTGAGGACTGGGCCTGTGAGGGACTGGGCTGCAGCACCTCAAGTTGGCCTGAGAGTTGGAGCCAGGGAGGAGCTACCCACCCAGCTGCTTCCACTGGTATGTGCATTGGCTGCCGCCAGTGCTGTACCAAACCTGACCCTGCACTAGCTGAAACACACGATAGTCAAATCTGAGTCAAACCCCAAACGAGGTTTCCTGGGGACTTCCAACTAGACCATTAGATGAAACTCTGGCCACAGGGTAAATCACAAGAGATGTGATCCAACCAGGCAGTGCAAGTATCTGGACAGGGCCTCCTCATTCCTGATGCCTGGGCAATGGACAGCAGGTCTGGATACACATGGGGAACATGACGGCTAGCACTTCTAGGCCAGGAGGGGACGCTGTGTGCCTCCTCAGAGGATGGAAAACAGAAAAGGTTGGACAACTCTCCTGGCCAAGCCTTGCAGCAAGTACCTAGCTTTTTGTGGATGCACTGGGATTCACTTGGTCAGCCAAGAAACCTTGAAAATATTTTCCCAACTCAGCGGCAACAAAACTGAAAAAGTCTCAGAAAGAACAGAACCTCTCAAAAACTTCATTCACAACATCTTTCCCCACAGTGCTAGCCCTGGTGGAATTCCTATTAGCAAGGGTTCTGAAATTCCCATGTTGCATCCAGAAATACTTAAACTCCTTTAAAAAAAAAAAAGATAATTTAGTTTTATTTGAAAGGCAGAGATACAGAGAGAAGGAGAGACAGATTGAGAGCTTTCATCCACTAGTTCACTCCCCAACTTGCTGATACAACCCAAGTTGGGCCAGTCTGAACCGAGGAACCATGAGCTTCTTCCACGTCTCAGGTGGGCAGAAGGGTTAAAGCACTTGAGCCATCCTCTGTGCTCTCCCAGCCCATCAACTGGAAGTTAGTTAAGAAATGGTGCAGCTCGAGCCTGGCACAATAGCCTAGTGCCTGGGGTCCTTGCCTTGCAAACGCCAAGATCCCATATGGACGCCAATTCATAAGCAAGCATCCCATTTCCCATCCAGCTCCCTGATTGTAGCCTGGGAAAGCAGTCAAGGATGGCTCAAAGCACCTGCTTGAGAGACCTGGAAAAGGCTCCGGATTGGTGCAGCTCTGGCCATTGCGGCCTCTTGGGGAGTGAATCATCGGATGGAAGATCTTCCTCTCTATCTCTCCTCCTCTCTGTATGACTCTGTCATAAAAATAAATAAATCTTAAAAAAAAAAAAAACACACAAGTAAAGCAGCTGGGATGCCAATCAGAGCCCATATGGAATGCTGGCAGTGCAAGCAGTAGCCTTTACCTGTTTTGTCACAACACTGGCTCTGGTGTTATCTAATTTTCACTTTTAGATAGCTTTTCTATTATCATCCAGAAAACTTATAAATTTAACCTGATAAACAAATCTTTTTCTATTCACTATTTTTTTTTCTTTTACAAATTCCATCTGCCCATTATGGTTTTTTTTTTTAATTTTGACAATCCTTACAAATTTAATTGGGGTAAAAAAGGTTCAAGGCCTAAAGGGGGATATAGAGGGAGAAGCCCCACCCAGTTTCCCACCCACCCTAAGTCCCGGATGTGGGGCATGCTCTGAGATACTCGATCAAGTGGTTCCAATAGTTCACCATTCATGGGTCGCTGCAAGTCTCGCCACTCCAAGCACGATGTGGTCATTGAAGAGTCCATTGATTGACACAGTCCCTTCTAGAGTCTCCATTTGCCCAGTATTTTGCTGCCAACAGATAGCTGAGGTTGTTGCTTGACTTGTTCTGTCTTTCCTTGGTTAGGACTCTGAGTCCGGTGTCTCGACTGGGGAGATCCTCAAAGAAATTTTGAGGTATTCCCAGTCCAGATTTCTGCGTGTTCTAGTAAGCATAGGGCCCGGCACAGTCCATTGCCCCGATCAGCTGGTGGTTGCAGTTGCTGGGTCGGTTCTGTCTCCACCCGTGTCCTCTTGCAGTCCGGCCTGGTTCCACCCTGGACGCACTTGTCCCTCGCACGTACCAGTAGGAGTTGCAGCCCAGTCAGGGCGGCCCACAGTAACCCCAACCAGGCCCACCCCCTACCCTGGCTTGCCAGTATGTATGGCATACTAGTCCAGTCTGACCCAAATACCCTTCTGTTCATATACTTGCCAACAGGTGTGGTTTTAAAGCAGAAAACAGAGGCACTGTAGCTCAGCAGCTTAAGCTATGTGTGGGACTTACTTGCCCCATATCAGTGCTTGGGGTTGAGTCCTGCCTCTACTTCCAATCCAGCTTCCACCTTTCATACTTGGCAAGCAACAGATGATGCTTCACCGACCTGAGTCCCTGCCACCCACGCACAACACCCACATGGCCTTCAGCCCAAGGCTTTGGCCACATCCAGTGCTGGCTAAGGCAGGCCTTTGGGGAGTGAACCAGCAGATGAAGACACTTTTTCTCTTCACCTCTCTTTCTCTGGCATTCTGCCTACCAATACAAAAGAAAAATGAAATGTAAAAAAACACATAGAAACAAAATACAGAATGGAATTTTAAATTAGGACAGTGGGCAAAGATTGCAAGTATGAGGATTCTTCAAAAGCTTTACAGAAAATGCATATTAGGAAAAAAAATCTACATATGGATTTTAATGTTTGGACCAAAAGAAACATCTAATTTCTCCATAAACTTTTCAAACTATCTGCTTATGTCTTTCACAGCTCTCTAGTTAACACGTACAGTTTACACAAATCTGGCATATTCAGCCTCACTCCACTACCACTGTACCAGATTTCTACACGTAGCTAATAATTTATCTTTTAGCTCAACGGAAAGACAAAAAACAGTATCCACTTTTGCAAAGCATCCTCCATTTTAATCCTGACTCTACAGCTATACCACCATTCTGCAGAGCCTCTCACATTGATGACAATCTCTAGATACACACACACTTAATTCCACAGAAACAGACTGAGTCATTAAGTTCAGAATCAAAACTTGGGCTTTTTAAATAAATGTGGTGGAAAACTGTAGCTTTTCTGAGTCTTTTTATTATGATTAGTTTTATGATTAGTTTTAAAAAGAGCTAACATCCTTATTAACTAAAAGAATTTGAATTTCTCAGTAGTTGTTGCTATTACAGTTTCTGGATTGATTAAATAAAAAATGAGACTTGGGGAATTTTATTTCATTCCCTTAAATGAAATACTAACCAAATAAAGTGCTTGTTTCCCACTTATAAAACAGGAAAATTTGTCCTCTCACTATCAAAACAGAATACCTTTCAATTCACATTGGGCTCTTACATTCACAACCAAGATGGATGCAACTTAAAAACAGTGGCTACAATGAGGCTGGCATTGTGGTACAACAAGTTAAGCCGCCACCTATGATTAAGGAGTCACAGAGGGTTCATGTCACAGCTGCCCCACTTCTGATTAATCTGCCCATAGTGAGTCTGGGAAAGCGGCAGCAGTACGTGGGCCCCTGCATGCATGTGGGAGACCCCGCTCCTGGCTACAGCCTGACCCAGCAGTGAACCAGTGGACAAAAGGCTGATCTCCCCTTTTCCTCTTCCCTCTACCTTTTCTCTATAACCTTTTTTTTTAAATATTTATCTATTTTTATTACAAAGTTAGATATACAGAGAGGAGGAGAGGTAGAGAGGAAGATCTTCCGTCTGATGAATCACTCCCGAAGTGACTGCAACAGCCAATCTGAAGCCGGAAACCAGGAACCTCCTCCGGGTCTCCCATGCAGGTGCAGATCCCAAAGCCTTGGGCCATCCTCGACTGCTTTCCCAGGCCACAAGCAGGGAGTGAGTGGGAATGGGAAGTGGAGCTGCCGGGATTAGAACCGGCGCCCATATGGTATCCCAGCACTTTCAAGGCGAGGACCTTAGCCGCTTGGCCACCACGCTGGGCCCAGCTGCTATGTACAATATGATTACATGTTCAGTACTCCATGATTTTATCAGAATTTCATAATCCATATTATAGTTTTTTATAAGTTGTTTTTCTATACATTATATTCCTTTAATTTTCAAAAGAAAAGCAAGCTTATTTTGAAAAGCAAAAAGTTCTATTATCCAAATAATTATAACACAATTCTGCAACAAATCTGTAAAGATGAAAGAAAGGAAAGAGGAAAGAAGAGGGGGGAAATTTTTTAAACATTTTGTTTTGGAGTATTACTCAGAAAACATGATTCAATTTTTAAAACCAAGAAGGTAACAGCCTGGCGTGCTAGCCTAGCAGCTAAACTTCTCATCTTGAATGCACTGGAATCCCATACAGACACCAGTTCATGTTCTGGCAGGCCCACTTCCCATCCAGCTCCCTGCCTGTGGCCTGGGAAAGCAGTCGAGAACAGCCCAAGGACTTGGGACGCTGCAACCTTATGGGAGACCAAGAGCAGGCCCCTTCCCTCTGGCTTCAGACTGGGACAGCTCCAGCCACTGCGGCCGATGGGGAGTGAATCACTGGATGGAAGATCTTCCTCTCTGTCTGTCCTCCTCTCTCTATATCTGCCCTTCCATTAAAAATACATAAATCTTTTTTAAAAAAAAAAGTTACAAATTTGCCCCAAAACACTCCAACTTTGAAGTGTTATGATCAAATATATGACTACATCTCCAAGTAAAATAAAGCCACAAAAGAATCTATTAAACAGTGAAAGGAACATTCCTTAGACCAATAACACTCACTGGCGTTGAACAGAGAAAAGTCAAGCAGTTACCTGAGGCTCAGGCAGCTCCCAGAACAAGAGCAGCTGAGAATACTACCCAGCTCCATGAGACACAATCCTGAGAACAGGAGCTGCTCTGAGAACTGCCTACAGCCCAGTCATTTGTCCACCTGACAAGCTGCTGACAGCTGGACCTGGTAACAAGCCACATGGCCTTCTGAAACCAATTCATTGGAAGTCAATTACATGCTGTTGGCCTGCTGGGCCTTGTGCAGGAGCCCAGCCTGAATCCAGGGCCTCCTTGATGCACAAGGAGACACCTAGCAAGCTTCCCACAAAGGACCCTCCCAAAACCCTGCTGGTGGCTGCAACAGCTCCAGGTGAGCCCAACACTTAGCCACACTGAACCCAAATTCTGAACAACAATTGCTCAATAATGTGCAACTGTGAGTGGACTAGGGAGCAATTAAAAGTTGAACTTTTTTTTAAAGTTATTTATTTATTGGAAAGTCAGATATACAGAGACGAAGAGAGAGAGGAAGATCTTCTGTCCGATGATTCACTCCCCAAGTGCAAGTGAGCACAACGGCCGATGCGATGCCAATCCGAAGCCAGGATCCAGGAACTTCTGGGTCCCAAAGCTTTGGGCTGTCCTCGACTGCTTTCCCAGGCCACAAGCAGGGAGCTGGATGGGAAGTGGAGCTGCCAGGATGAGAACCGGTGCCCAACGGGATCCCGTCGCGTTCAAAGCAAGGACTTCCTCCTGCTTTTTCCCCATTAAAGACTGTAGAGTCCACCAAGCAGTGCAGAATTAGGAACCATACTATTGTGTTTTTAAAAATGGGGTGAGGGCAATGGCAGGAGGGGAAAGGAAAAAGGAAGGAATGAAGGGAGAGAAAGGAACCCATACAGCTACAAAATTGCATCACAGAAAAACACTTTAATCAGTGGATAAAAGGAAACATGGGTTTTATAATCAGATTGCTAATATGATGGATATAATCCTGGCTGGGGATTCCGAATTTACATCACTATTTACAGCCCTATCAGCACAAAAACAGATCTCAAGACAAAGTACTTTCCACCATGTTCAATCAACACAAGATATTCCAAATCCGGTCATCACAATGCATCTTCTAGTCAGCATTTCAGAACAAAATTCCTAAATGTTTCAGGGAAAACACCACAGATCCTAAGCTAGTTCCCTACTATTTAGTAGAGCTTGCTTCCTACACCTGGACAGTAGCATGCAGCCCCGGGTTCGACCTTGCAGCTCTCCGCAGGTGAATACGAACTGAGATCAGCACAGCCGCTCTGCAGCGACTCGCTCCTGCGGCTGCAGCGCAGCTGGCCCTTGCACACTTTGAGTCCCCTTGCCGTTCCCTCACGCTCGTGGGCCAACCGCACGGGACAGAGTGAAAACAAGCGGTCACATGGGCAACCCGTGACTCCCACTGCGCGGCAGTCCTTGCTCGTCACAGAAACTGAAAAGTTACCACGGACGCCCGAGAGTCCCGGGAGCCGCGGCTGAGGACCAGGCAGGTGCCCGCGGCGCGCGCACAGACCCGAGCCCCAGGGCCGTGCCCGCACACACCGCCCCGCTCGGCCACCTCCCGCACCTTCCTCCCGCCCAGAAGCCCCCAGCCCCGCGCGCCGTCCCGGAGCCACGACCCTGCCGGACCACCGTCCCCACAGCCGCTTCGAGAAGCCCACGTCCCTCCACCGCGGCCGCTCCCGGGGCTCCCCGAGCACCAGCCCGGGACCCCGGCGACACGGCGACACGCCAGAAACTCACCGACGCCGCCCCTCGCTCCGGCCCGCCCGCTCGCTCCGGCTGCCACGCCCCGAACACCCGGGCGCCCCGCGCCACAACCGCTGTCCCCGCGGCCGCCCGGGGCCACAAGGAGGCGGCCCGCCCCGCCAGTGGCGCCGCCCTCCCGGCTGGATCCCCCGCCGCACGCTGCCGGGAGCACGTGCGCGCGCACGCCCAGGCGGTTGGCCCGTCCGACACGTGACTGCGCGCGGCCACACCCCCGCCGGCACGCCCCGCCCTCGCGCCGCTCCTATTGGCCCCAGCCAGCCACGCCCCGTTTCCGGCTTTGCCTGCAGGTCCTGGAGAGGCTCCCTCTCTGGCAGGTGCTTGGTGCTGAGTGCAGGGTTGCAAGGAGCTGCACCTGCCCGGGACACCGAGGCCCGCCCCTTCGCCACAGCCCAAGCAAAGTGAAAACACCTGGCCAGTATTCTGCAAACTCGTTGGTAAAGCAAATATATCCTTCGGCTGTCCAGATGTTGTGTTTCTTCTGCTTTGCTGCCTCTGTACCACACTGGATGACAGTGGGCCTACGTGGAGGACTTAGCTCAGTATTTCCCAAAGTGAAGCCTCAAACTGCTGTATCCGCAGTTTTTTTAAAAAATGCATGTGATTGCAATTATGTTCTAATTATTTATTCTAATGACTTACACTTGTTAGAATTTAGAGTTATGTAAAATTTATGCTGTTCAGAATTATTTTCTAATTTCTTGACATTTTCAAATATATTTAATATGTTATTTGTAATGAGAAATTAACAGGTATCATTTTTAGATGCACTGCAGGTGGTTGGCAGCTCAGGTTTCTTGATCAAGAAACGTGTATTAAAGACTGACCGTAGGCCACTTGGTCCCCACACTACCAGCAATACATCAGAGGAAAAGTTTTAGAGGGATGACTTCTGGGGAGAAGAGCCACCTGCATCCCAGACTAGCCCCACCTTTTATTAATAACATAGACACTTATCTAACAACCCTCCAGCTGTGAAACATGCGCTGGTTACAGTAGCAGTGTTCTTTGGGAAAGAAGAAACCTTGGGGCTTCAATGAGGTGGAGTCATCTTCACAGCTTACAGGAGATGGTCTACCACGAGATTCCGTGGAAACCTTCTTCTCACCCTGGTGACAGAACGCACAAATTCATGACTTAACCACCTCCTTCTTTAAGCCGCAAATGAAAAACAGGTTCACCAATAGAAAGATGCAGTACTATTCATTGTAACTACTAGTAACGCAGATTACACTCCCAACAGGATGATTGCTTGTGTTGTATTTCAATAGGTGTAAAGTATGCTAAGGAAAAGGCAGCTCCTTGCCATTTTTGACGGTACTTACTAGAACTTTGAAAGAACTTGGGAGCCTGGCGTGGTAGCCAAAGCAGCTAAAGTCCTTGCCTTGTACACACAAGATTCCCATTAGGCACCAGTTCTAATCCCAGCACCCCCCTTACCATGCAGCTCCCTGCCTGTGGCCTGGGAAAGCAGTCAATGATGGCCCAAAGCCTTGGGACCCTGCACCTGCGTGGGAGACCCACAAGAGGCTCCGGTCTCCTGGTTTCAGATCAGCATAGCTCCAGGCGTCATGGCCACTTGGGGAGTGACTTATTGGACAGAAGAGGTTCCTCTTTATGTGTCCTCGCTGTATATCTGACTTTGCAATAAAAATAAGTAAATCTTTAAAAAGATTAAAGAAATGTGAAAGAATTCGTTATTCCAGAACATCACTGCCCTGAGGAGCAGTGTATAATGATGGAAATTTTCCTTTATTTTTTAAGATTTGTTTCTTTGAAAATAAATATATTTTTTATTTATTTATTTATTTGAAAGGCAGAGTTACAGAAAGAAGGAAAGCCTCCCAAGTCTCATGGCCTGTATAGCTAACATACATGCAAGTGAAGAGTCAATGGTTGAATCAATTATTCTGCCACCCTATGGCCATTTTAAATAATTTCACAGGTAATTGGCCATGTCAATGAGTTTCAATGTATTTTTCCTTTAATTAGCAGTCTCCTGCGCCATATTGGAAAGATATTTCATGTAACTAGGCTCTGTCAAAGGATGACTGATAGCAATGAAGCAGGTTGTAGGAATGCCTGCTGTACGTTCAATCCAGTTCCTTGGTAATGTGCCAAAGCCAGGAGCCAGGAGCTTCTTCTAGGTCTCCCACATGGGTGCAGGGTTCCAAGGCTTTGGACCGTCCCCTGCTGCTTTCCCAGGCCACAAGCGGGGGGCTGGATGAAAAGTGGAGCAGCCGGGACACAAACTAGTGCCCATATGGGATTCTGGCATATGCAAGGTAAGGATTTAGCCACTAGGCTATCATACCCAGCCTGAATGGAAGATCTCTTTCTTTCTGTATTTCCCCCAACTCTGTAATTCTGCCTTTCATATAAATAAAATAAATTAATTTTAAAAAACAAACTTCATTGGCTTCATATAATGGTGCAAGTCTATTCTGCAAATAGTCACCCAAAGATCCGAATTCCTTCTATTGTTAGTCCCAGCGTTGTCAATGAATGGACTCCATAGTTACTACAGAGGGAGAAAGAATGCAGCCAGGTGCACTGGAGAGTTTGTGGATGGGCCTGGAAGTGATTTATACCACTCGTGTTTTCTCGGTGTCTTCAAATTCTAGAATGATTATGGTCCTAAACTGTCCTTTTTCCTCCTCATTCTCTGCCCTTCCCTGCTCTGTGTCCAGCGAGGTTGGTCCCGTGTTGAAATCCGAACTTGTTTTCTATCTTTCAAGTTGGTCCAGAGGATGAGAAGTACCATCCAATGAGTCCTTCCCCAGCCACTTACTGACACTTTACCTAGAACTTCTGCAGGGCTGTATATTTTCTGCAGCCACAGCTTCCTATCGGCAGTTCCTGTTCTATAATTTCAGCCCTTGCTGGTCTCCAATAAAACCAGGCCCTTTAATGTTAACAGCTTCCTACAACTAGTAGTCCGTAGCTGCTTCTCTATCCGTTATGGCTTCTCTTAAAGTTGATCACCCTTGTATAAACATCCCCTTCCTTAATCTCTATCCAGTTAAATCCTTTGCGGATGTCACTGGTTTCCTGAAACTCAGACACATTGCTCACTAGTTCACATTAATTCCCTTTCAATTATCCATGTGCTTTCATGTGGAGTGATTTTTTTCAAAAGAGTGCAAGTGACCACTACAGTTAAAACTCCATCTTAATGTCATATTCTGAAAGTTTTTCATCCATAATACAACTACACTAACAGCAATTGCTGTTGTTAACTTGATTTTGGAAATGGTTAGTCACAATTTTAGTGTTCATCTATAGCTATAGCTGCGCCATGAAGTTATTTGAGCCATTCTATTTTTTCAGCAGTTTAGGTATAGAACATCATAGATAAATTTCTGTAATATTAGCTATCATTTCTTTTTAAAAATAGATCTGCCTTCCCAACACAAGTAATTTTTTTAAGTGGATGCTGTTTCTTTAACTGTACACCCACCTTCCCAAGATGCAAGTCTCCAGTCAGAGGCCCTGGTGAGGAGCCCACCTGGCTGTGTCTCTCCACTTCCTAAAAGAAGCTGCAGAAGGGGCCCCGGCACAGTAGCTTAGTGGCTAATGTCCTTGCTTTGCACAGGCTGTGACTCCCTTTGGGTGCCGGTTCTAACGGCAGAAGGCTGGAGAATGTTCTCACTGGAGGATGTTCTCAGATGGCCTGGCTCTTATTTCCTAGGATGCGATAAACAGGTGAAGAGGTACTGCTGCCGAGGTGTTTTCCTCCGGGGTCTGGGTAACACTTGAGCCCACTGTGTTGGGTGCTTGCCTGTGGCACGCACCTCCTCCCTGTGCATGAACCGGTGTTTATTTCCTCCCTGTTAACACTCAATACCAGTCTCTGTTTAGTGTTTCAATCTCTGTCAGAGATAAAGAACCTGGATTAGAAACTGAATGTGTTCATTGCCCACATCAGTAGTAACATGCACAAAAAGTAAATATATAAACACTATTTTGACGGGATGTATTTATTATTTGAAAGGCAGAGTTAGAAAGAGAAGAGACAGAGAAAAAGCAATAAAACTTCCAGCAGCTGACTCAATCCCACAGAAAGCGACAAGAGCTGAGCCAGGCTTGAGCTAGGAGCCTGGACCTCCATCTGGGTGTGTGGCTGGTGGGAAATGCTTTCAAGGTAGTCCCCCACGTGGGTGGCAGGGGTCTGAGCACTCGGGCCATGTTCCCCTGCCTTCTCAGGCACATCAGCAAGGAGCTGAAGTCCAAGTGGAGCTGCTGGAGCTCCACCCGATGTTAGTGCAGGAGGTTAGCTGATGCAAGCTTTATCCCAGTATCACAGTACTGGCCCACTGGCCACGAAGCACTAATTATTATTGCATTCTGCATACACATGTTTGTTAGTTTGGGGACAATGGCTCAAGGAATATTTTCAAGAATAGTATTTAAGACAGTCTTTCATTTGAAAGAATGAACCAGATACTGCTTCCCGTTTGCTGGTTCACTCCCCAAATAGACACAAAGGCTGGGCACGAACCGGACTGAAGCCAGGGGCTGGAAACTCCTTGTGTCCCATGTGGGTGGCAGGGGCCCATTGTCAAGCCATCGCTGTCTGGAGTCAGGGACGGGGTTTTTACCTCGGGAACCCAATGTGGGACACGGGTGTCTCTGCCTTAGCCAGCCTGTTAGCTGCTAGGCTAAATGCCTGTGTTGTCAACTCCGTAAAAACAGTAGGATTTTGCTCTCTTTGAACATTTCAAATTGATTTCAAGACATAGCAACATAACTGAATGAGAGGAATGGAGTGATCACCAATACCCCTTTCAGATGCAGAAGACTGTTAAACCTGGAAATTCAAACAAAAAAAATCTAAGAAGAAACCTTAAGATGGCAAGTTATGAAAGTGGAATACCTTGTTCACCCAAATTATATTTTCTGAAGGTAGAATGATCCAAATTGGCAAGTATTTGAAAAGTTTCTGTATTGTCTGACAGAACATTCATTTTAACATTTCAGTCTCAAAAAAAAAAAAACAAAAACAGAATTCAAAACAAGATTCATTCCATGATTAGTGCCCTGATCTCTTCCCAGATCAATTATTTTATCATAGAGTAACATGGTAACCCTATAGGTGACTTATTAAAATAATCATTGATTGATTGATTTATAAGGCAGAGTCAGAGAGAGAGATCGATCCATATCCACTCTTCACTTCCCAAATTGCTGCAACAT